GAAACACGCAGTAGTGATGAAAAAAGAAAAATTTCTACTATACTTTGATTTTCATCAAGTTCATCAAGTTTTTTATGTAACATTTTATTCTCTCTCAATAAATCTCTGTTTTCAATGGTGAGTTTTTGCACGGCATTTTTTGTTTCTTCTTGCAATGTCGTAGGGTAGCTACTAAAATAGAAGAAACAATTTACAAATTTTAAGTATATTTTGTAAAACCGACTAGGTAGTTGAAAAAAAAATTAGTCTACATACTTATTGACAATATTCAGCTTTTCAATTTTTTGTCTCTCAATTTCATTACTAAGTGCTTTATTTCTAATCGCTATTTCAACAGTTTTTGTGTACATTGGATCATTTTGTAGTTTACTACAAAGAAAAGTAATTCAGTTCTTCATGTGTATCTTGCTTATTTGAATGAGAATACTTACGAAATTGTGGCCTCTTTTTCTTTCAATTGTTGTTCTAACTTGAACAATTTCTGTTTTAAATTTAACACATTCTAAGAGAAAGAATTAAAAATCTATTGTTTTAGTTCATTCTTGAACATTTTATTAATGAAATAACAAACATACAGTTGTCCTATTACGATCGGTTCCGGACAATGTTTTTCTAGAAACACCATCCTACAATATGAAAACAAATATATACGTTAGTTCTATATTTACAACAGTGTCTTCTATATAATAATATATTACTTGGCTGGTATCACAGAGTCCGTCAATTTCTTTAATTCTTCTCGCATTTTCTTCGTCAAGACGTCGAATTTTCGTACGCATACTACTATTTTCATCTTTCAACGAGGAGACTTGCTAAACGATACCAAAAAAAAAATACTTTTTTATTCAAAACTTCTCAACATCATTAACTAACTTTTTTCAATGTAGCAACTTCATCATAGTAATCTTCATGTGATTTATACTTTGGATTTCCAATAAACGTTTTATTCATCGATGCTATAACAGAAAGTGGATAACGTATACTAAATTTTCTAGAATATATGAAATATCTAATACAAAACAAATATGTACAATTTGATTTCGGTGATAAATCATTCGCACTTTTTGTTCTCATAATATTTGACTCATTCATATCGTCATTTACTGAAGAGGAAGTAGCAGATAAAGCAGCAGCGCGTAATAATTTACGCAAATATTCCGGTGTACTACGATATGCCAATTCATCAGCAGGATATTGTATGTGAGTGAATGATTTTGTTTTCTTATTCATATATGGTGTAAGTCCTATAAAATAAAAAATTTAGTTCTTAATCATGTTTAATTTATGCCCTAAAATAGATTTATTTTTCTTCTATAACTAACTCTTTTTCTTTTGCATATGAGAAGAGCAAAAATATAATGAAACTTTAATTACAAATCATCTAACTCATTTTATGAGATAACGAACAGATTCAGAAAAGAAGATAGGCAACATAAATACCATTCCCATATTGTAAATTTTCGATGTAGTTTTCGCGCGCATTTTTGACCCGTCGATTAGAAGTCATGGATATTTTTCGGCTTTTATCTAATAAAAACAAACATTGTACAATTATAAGATTATTCAATCAGTTACAATTTTGATAGTTAATTTCAGGAGTTTTTGTTACTATTCGAATACATAAAACTAGAGAGCAATTGCGCTGGGCACAAGCTGCGATATCGACAGACTATATCCGATCTGAATTTGTCAGAAGCGCTCCGCAGTCAACAGGGAGTTTACCACATCATGTTCGTTGTGACTTTAGTTGCTTTAAAAGATAGATTTAAGAAAAATGAAATGAAAACGAAATTTCAAGAAGAGAAAGAAAAAGAGAAAGAATTATTTTTTCCACCGAAGAATAAATGGCGTCGGACAACAAGCTATTAATGAATATATGAAACTTTCTAAGTTCAAAGTCAATTTTCTTCCACTTTTCGAACCTTGTGGTGCCGGTTCCAACGTAAATTTTGGGAAAAGAATACCCAGTAGTCGATTTTCGGTACTCATAGAGCGATTTCGTGTTTTCAGAACTTCTCTACGTTGTATAGTTCTCGAGATCATGCGACGCACATTTTGCAAAATAAAGTGACTAAATAAGAAAAAAGAATCTAGATAGCAATTGCGCTGCGCCCAAGCTCCGAAGTTGACAGAACCGTCTCCACCTAAGCCTGCCAGAAGCGATCCGTAGCCATCAGGAATCCTCTGTTTCAGCGTGAGAGCGCCCTTTTGTGCAGCTGAAACAGAGGGAGCTTTTGAGAAATGAGTCATTGTTATTCCTAACCTACATTAGACTTGTCAGATACACTTGTGATTGTAAAACAGAAAGAAAATAGAGAGAATTACATTTCGTCGC